CACTTCCTTTGGAGAGGCTGACAATATTTTAAAGAAGTAATGGCATTATTGGGGAGGAGGATGAATAAATAGTTTAGTAATTTCAGAGGAATGTTTTATCTGTCAGTATTTACAATGACTGAATCAAAAGTATGTTGTGGTAAATACGCTTTTGCCTGAGACACAGTATCTCAACAAAAAGGTGAAGTTTTACTCATATCTATAGTTCTATAATATAGATCAAACAAAGGGCTGCAAGAGAGCTCTGTGTTCAGTATTTGCGCTGAAATGTGACCACAGAGATTCAGTACACTATTTTTAAATGTCCTACTTTTGAGTTCTCCAGATTCAGTAGAAGCCTACGTATCTTTCACATCTCTACGCGGGACGCTGAAAACCTGCATCATTTGGCCCATGCACTGGCAATCCACTGGAAATTAAATCGAAAGGGTTTTTTGCCGTTTCTTAATGTTTGAGCAATATGGTAATGATGACAAGGATTAAAACCGCTTGTAAATGCAAAACACTGCAGGAATGGTTTCTTGCACTTCCATGAACATATATGTCTACAAGCTCTGACAGCAGCCATACAACTACTGTACGTCAAGATGATGACATCTCGCTGTTTCTCTCGCAGAGTAATTAAATCTTAGCAAAAACTATTTTTATTGACTGAATCATTTATAAAGAAGTCAAACATGAAATTTTTAAAGAAGTCAACAGTCAGACCATTTTTAAGTGTTTTTTACTGAAAAAATGTGTAATTAAATTACAGTTACTTATGAAAATGATTACAAAGTATTACAAAGGGGGTTACATCTGAATATTTTCACACACACACACAGATTTGATTGATTTCTTTTCAAAATTGAATTGACTGCTCTAAAATATGATACATTAATGTTTCAGGAGTTTAGGACACATGTTTATTCAATAACTGTTTTATTCCCTATTTATGCTTTATTTTTTAAGATTAACTGTTTTTTTCCCCCCAAGGCATTGTTAGATGCCAGTGTTTCCTGTCACAACAATGCAAAGATTTGATTTCAAAAACAGTATCATTGATATTGAACTATATCTTGTTATGATTTTAAATCTGTTTTTAACCTCAGAATGATTTCAAAGTAAAACGAGGTGTTAAAGTCTGATTTTGTGGTGGCTGTGCTTTCAAATGACATTTTTATCATCTTAACTCAAGTGATGAAGGATTTTGAAAGTCTGACAGTAATCAGTGTGGAATACTGTTAACCCTGCCTGTTTGAAAATGATTAATAGTTGAAAACATTAGAAATTTAGAAAAGTAATGAAAAAGAAAGAAGTCAACAGTCAGACCATTTTTAAGTGTTTTTTACTGAAAAAATGTGTAATTAAATTACAGTTACTTATGAAAATGATTACAAAGTATTACAAAGGGGGTTACATCTGAATATTTTCACACACACACACAGATTTGATTGATTTCTTTTCAAAATTGAATTGACTGCTCTAAAATATGATACATTACTGTTTCAGGAGTTTAGGACACATGTTTATTCAATAACTGTTTTATTCCCTATTTATGCTTTATTTTTTAAGATTAACTGTTTTTTTCCTCCCAAGGCATTGTTAGATGCCAGTGTTTCCTGTCACAACAATGCAAAGATTTGATTTCAAAAACAGTATCATTGATATTGAACTATATCTTGTTATGATTTTAAATCTGTTTTTAACCTCAGAATGATTTCAAAGTAAAACGAGGTGTTAAAGTCTGATTTTGTGGTGGCTGTGCTTTCAAATGACATTTTTATCATCTTAACTCAAGTGATGAAGGATTTTGAAAGTCTGACAGTAATCAGTGTGGAATACTGTTAACCCTGCCTGTTTGAAAATGATTAATAGTTGAAAACATTAGAAATTTAGAAAAGTAATGAAAAAGGAATGAAATCTAATCAGTTACATTACTTTAATAAAGTAATTGAAATAGTTACACTACGTATTACATTTTGAATAGGGTAACTTGTAATCTGTAACCTATTACATTTCCAAAGTAACCTTCACAACACTGGACTATTTAAAGTATTTGCTGTGTTTGATATTTCATGGTGTTCATGAAGTGTTGTTGAAGTTCTTTGCTTTGTTTCATGCCATTTTATTGTTGAAGAAATGTGGAGTTTTTCTGTAAGAGTTTGACATTACATAATCACATGTGTAGCTGATATGACAAAATCCTCTGCTTGATTTTTTTTTTCAACAAAGTTGCCATTTTGGTACAAAATATGTACATTTATAACAATCATACAGGAATTTGGAGCCTTTATAAATATCTCTCATCCTCTCAGTAATCAGTCTGACAGTCTCATGAATTTATCCAATAACAAGTCTTCCCATACCATAAATATATTTTAAAATATACAAAAAAAAAAGCTAAAATATGCTTCAAAATATATTTACGTAAATATAGTTCTACTATTTTCTGTATATTTTTCTAAATATATTTTTAAAAACATTTAAAACAGCATTTAAAAATATATTTTGCCCTCCATATTTCAGTCCAAGAAAATACAAATACATTTGAAGTGTCACATTTGAAGTAGAACTTTGTTGTCTATAACGTGTGAACATATAACACGTTTAAATAATATCTATCTATCTATCTATCTATCTATCTATCTGAGGAATTTGTTGTGGTTTTTTTAAGGTGCTCCTGGTACATACATACATGCATACATACATACATATCTGACATGAGAACAGAAAAAAACCCCCAAAAAAACATTTAAATAGTAAAAACTTAACAATAAATAATATGTATGAATCTGGAACAGTAGATTTATGTACAGATTTGTGCATTATTTACTCTCAGAATCAGAGCATCACAGAGTGTCTGATATGAAGTACGTATACTGTCTGTCTATTTGCCTAAATTCATCTTCTACCAGAACCATCTACCTATCTATCTGTCTGTCTGTCTATCATTTATCTATCTATCTATCTATCTATCTATCTATCTATCTGTCTGTCTGTCTGTCTATCATCTATCTATCTATCTATCTATCTATCTATCTGTCTGTCTATCTATCTATCTATTAATCAATTGAAATGTTTTATTGAGCTTCAGTTTACAACATATATTTAGCATGTATTTAAATTTTATTTTGGCCAAATGTTTTAAGAACGTTTAAATTGAATTATACAGCAGAATCCTTGTTTACATGAATGCAGAACCATTTTTTTCTGTATTAATGTGACAACATAGTTTCTGTTGCTATTCTGTGTTTGTGCTTTTACTGTGTTTGTGAGCAGAGCTACACTAACATCCCCACTGTCATCAAAACATTGATGTTGTAAGACCTGCATGAAAAGCCATTGTCTGAGATAAATGGACAGGATAATTCCTCTGCTATCACACGTTCATGCTGTGAGGTCTATAAAAATGTCAAAAGCACTTATTTCTTGGTGCACTTTCAATCATGTCATGATGAATACACACACACAAAAAGAGGAAATTGAGTCGTTCACCTCTCATTTGCATCGGACTGAGTTTGGGAAAAAACAAGAGAGAGCAGAATTTTGCAACAAACAGAGAAAAATCCATTCAAAACTTTTTGATTTATTCTTAGTAAGAGGAGGAAAAGCCTCTCTCCATTGTCATATGATAGTTTCAGAATATGTGAAATAAACGTAATTATAAATGTGATTATTTTTAATGATTTTTTACAAAAGGGTGCCATTGATGTAAAATACTACATTTTCTATATAAATGTAGTTGTGCACTGTATAATTTGGTTGAATACTTACAGAGAAATCAAGCAGAATACCAGTGAAAGAGATACCTCTTGATTATATTCTGAATTACATAATTCTATGAATTACATATAGGCTTATATTCTTGATTGAAGGGATAGTTGAAATATGATACACCATAAATTAAGACTGAATGATTTTACTCATTTGACCTATATGAATAATGACGTTTGAAATATAATTCTTGGAAATATTATGCAATATCTGTCACATCCGGGACAAAGAGGCAAACAGACAGGTTAACGTAAGTCGGGAAGTTTATTCAGAGGAACTTAGGAGGAGCTTCCAACAGAAAAGAGTCAACTGAGGAATAAATGGAAGCAGAGAACACAGTCTTATCTGGTTAATGAATTCTAATAATTATTCAATTAAATAATAAAAACACAAGTAACAACATAGGTTGCGTTTACACTGGCACAAAAAATCAGATCTTTCGCTCACATCTGACACAGATCGGAATTTGTCACAGATATCGGATACCAGTCGTGTCTAGTGAATGTAAACAGATGTGCTAAAAAATCGGATATGGTCAAAAGATCGGATCTGTGCATTAAGACTTGCAGTGTAAACACAGCCATACTGGCCTTTTGTGCTTCACCCACAGGTCTCATTTTAACCTCTCAATTTCAAATGAAAATGCAAATCTAAAATCTTAATTACTGTAACCACAAATTCTCCATTAACAAAATTAGACCTATATAAAAATGTATAATTAAATTATAAAAATGCATACATCACTGATATCCAAAATAAATGAAATAAATGTAAATTAGGGTCCCAAAAGGGTGTTTGTGTAGTGATACCACAGAAGAACCTCAAAGAACCCTTCAGTGAACAGAAGCATTTTTTTCTTATTGTAAAGAACATTTTGAAAATCTAAAGAACCTTTTTCCATCATAAAGAACCCTTTGTGCAGTGAAAACGTTCTATGAAAGTCAAAGGTTCTTCATAGAATCATAGATGCCAATAAAGAACCTTTATTTTTAGAGTGATATGATGCCACAAATCTGTAAACAATGGTCCATACAACAATTGGCTTATTTTTGTGGTTGTAATTCCCTTTTGTGAGTGTAAGTGGGTGTGAATCTGTGTGGGTGTATGTCATGGTTTCTCCTCTCAGTCTCTATACTGCTCATTTTTTCTCCAAACTCATCACTGACATCACTGGAGTTTCCCCTGGTCTTGCACTCTATGCTTTAAAAAGAATGAAGAACCAGCTTTTCTGAGCACAACGCTGACAGACCAACCAAGCAAAACACTGAAGTGATAAACCGCGCTGAGGAGACTTTACAAGACCATTTAAAAGTGTACTGACACGCTGCAGTTTCTTATAATTGGACATAGTTGAACTTGAGCTTTCGGAGGACTAACAGACACAATGATGATGGATCTTGAGAGTCAGTTTCTTGAAGAAGGAGCGCTGCCCTTACCACAGGTGATGGTGTCGAGGAGGAAGGCCGGCTCCTCAAAGTCAGGCGTCTGGCGGGTGTGTGGGGTCCTGCTGGCTGTGGCCCTGTGTGCCGCCGCTGCTGTCTGCTTCACGCTCAACAAGGTGACTATCCTGACCCATACACGTCATGCATGTCATTCTAAATATGCCATTTCAGGCACATATTTGTGCATTATTGTGTACTCAATGTTACGTTTCTTGTTCATTCTAGTCTCAGAACAATCAGGAAGGTGGAAATGGTGAGTTCAGTTTCATACCCTCAGTTTCATATCCCCCTTTCCCCATTCACATCAGATAATGTGATTTTCTGTTAAACTAAATCATCTTATACGAGTTATTTTGTGTTTTTCCCCATCAGAGCTAAGGCTCACATTAAGAGATCATCTTTCAAAAGAAAATGTCACTTCCAAGGTTGCCATCCATTTAACAGGTAAGCTTGATTCAGTGGTAAATGAGCTGTAAACAATCACCTCACCTCAGAATGCATTCAAAGTTTAAGCAGCTTTGCACCGCATTATACATCTTAAATATATTGCAAGAGTCCAAATACTTTTAGGGGTGATTGTATGAACTTGTATAAACTTGAATAATTTGGTTATGTATCCAAAAATGTAGGATAAACGAATATGTGTCAGATTTCACTCCTATAGAAGTACTATTAAAAGAAGTACAGTTTTAAAATTGGTCTGTTTTTGTTAGTCAAAGGAGAAAGTTACTGTATAGCAGTCAAACTCTACTATAATTTGACACAAATTCATCTGTCAATTAGAATATGACCCTGATTACAGTAGATACACTTTCACTTACAGTGAGGATAAACATAGTTTTGATGTTTTGTATGGCACCTGCCAAAACAATGAAATATTGAAATTTATAGACATTAAAATAAATTTTAAGAACATTTGTGATTATTTTGTTAACATTAATGTATTAAGTATCAATGTAATGTGTCCGTAATTGAATGGACAACTATTTTTACAGCATTCATTAATCTAGATTAGTGTTACTATTCATTATTAATTCATGTTTGTTCATAATATATGAATTAATGTTAAATTAGGCAACGTCAAATGTAAAAAATGTATTATCTACTTGCATATTTATGAATTGCATTCACCTAAACCATAAAATAAGCCATTATGGCACAGTTTATTAAGGTTGTCGCTTGATGTCCAAAGTAAAATCTGCATCCTGTAGCAAAAACCTATTGAGAAGCACCGACTTATTCCATGTTTTTGTTGTATTCTCTTCTAGGTGCATATGACCCTGACGTGTCTAAGGACAACCTAGACTGGAAACAGAACCAGGACCAGGCTTTTGTTTCAGGTGGCTTGGAATTAGTGGACAGAGAGATCATCATTCCTAACGACGGCATTTACTTCGTCTACAGCCAGGTGTCTTTCCACATCAGCTGCAAGAATGACATACCTGAGGACCACGACGTCGTGCATATGAGCCACGCAGTGTGGCGCTACTCTGAGTCCTACGGCAGCTACAAGCCGCTTTTCAGCGCGATCCGCTCCGCCTGCGTGCAGGCGTCTGACACTGAAGATCTGTGGTACAACACCATTTACCTCGGTGCGGCCTTCAACCTGCGAGCTGGAGACAAACTGCGCACCGAAACCACCACAGAACTCCTGCCCCGCGTCGAAAACGAGAACGGAAAGACCTTCTTTGGGGTGTTTGCTTTATGATATGCACTCTAAAAATCCGTAAAAACAGGACACAATGTACTGTACCTATTTATATGAAGGAACTTTCTTTCTTTTCTTCAAAACTTGAAATGTAAGGAAACAATGGAAACCTGTGGGGAGGAAAGCAGTAGCCTATGCTGAACTTCCAATGCAATGACACTGATAAGACTGAAATGACCCCTAGTCGATGTTTTATATTAAAACAGGTCAAAATCTATAACTTTTATGGATCAGATCCAGGGATCCAGATATCAGTGGGGGAAATCATGGGCATTTTCAGCTTGTGTCCATGAATGCTGAATTAAAGCAATCCAAGTTATTTATATACTTAAAATGATGAGTATTTATGTGTAGCCTATTTATTGAACTATTTATTGAACTATTTATTAAAAGAATGAAAAACTACTGCACTGCTACTGTAATGAAATTCAAACATGTAATAAATCTGTGTAATTCTAATGTGTACTTTGCGTTTTCTCTGCAGTTTCCAACTTGCTTTTTAATCAGCTTTGTTTTTGGTTCTGATATTAGGCTACTGAGAGAGCAAAGGGTATAAACATTGGTTGTGCAGCCTCAGAGGTTACTGCAGAGGAAACATTGGTCGTGATGAATTATCTCTGCAAAAACTATAGTCCCCTCAGTCCTCAAGATATTTGTATTTAAAATTAGAAAGCAGGGTACTAGGGAAATTGCATTTCAGTCATGCATTTGCAAACCCCTCCATGTGCACGTTTCCGCTGACGCTGTTTCCTCATCTGAGAAAAGTGTGTGGTTTCGGTGAGGGGAAACTCCCTAACACACACCACCATGTCAGGCTCCAGGGAACACTCATGTAGAGTGGGCATTTTTGTGGTTACTTCAGGCCTATCTGTTACTCTTATTAATCAACAATGGTTGAGGAGCAATAAAATCAGTGGGTTTCTGTGACATAATACAGTGGAAAAACTTGAGGGATAATGTGTAGGCTACATTATGGGTGTAATTTTAATTTGCTTACAGCTATAATCTGCCATCAAATATCAATTGGAGTTCATATTCACCTAATAGTAATGCTATGTTTTTATAGGTATGTGCTTGAAAAATCAATCAGCATCTATTAAAAGAGAGTTAACTGTGAATGCTGCTTTTTAACTAAAAGTTTGAATTGTCTAGTCCGTGCAAAAGTATTTCCCATAAATCTCAGGTCAGGGCAAGACGCTTTGTGCAAATTATGAGTAAATTCTGTTGGACTGTAAACAGTTAGCAACTGCCATTGTTTAAAGGTTGAATTCAATAAGAATTTTTAAAAAACAGAATTCAATATACTGCAGGGATGATGCATTTTTGCAGGCCAAAACAGCATTTTAGCACTTCTGGTTGAAATCAATGGGGTTTTTTAAATGAGTTTTACAGCCTGTGTTTATCTTTTTACACTATTGTATTCAGGCATAAACTTTAGTTGGTAACGGTTCTTTTTTTTCCCTAATATTAAAGATCATTTTAGCACTTCTGGTTGAAATCAATGGGGGTTTTTTTAATGAGTTTTACAGCCTGTGTTTATCTTTTTACACTATTGTATTCAGGCATAAACTTTAGTTGGTAACGGTTCTTTTTTTTCCCTAATATTAAAGATTAGAAGTAAAAAAGGGAGAAAATGGTGTTTAAAAGCACGTGTGAGAGTGGGGATTTGGGAGAAAAATGAGAGATTCTTAGAGCATCGAAGTGAATTATTCATGGGATATCGTTCATTAAAAAATGTAGTGTCTGTTGTCTTCTTGTCTGTATATTGTTGCAAACAAAGAAACAAAAAAGCCCGCCCATCACAGATTTTCTTGTGATACCAATGTCACAAATAAAACATCCAGCGTTAAATTATTTTCCTGAGCAATTAAAATAGAGCATGACAGAAAATGTACAGCTCATTCAGTCAAACTGATTATTTGTAGTGCAACATTGAATTATTTGTTTCAGTTCTTCTGAATGGCAGTTACCAAAACTAGAAGTGCCACCTATATTTTAAAATGCAGAAGACTTGTTTGGAAAACAGAAAAAGCATCAAACAATGCTCTAAATATATCTCAAAAGTGTAAATGGAAATGGCATTTCCATTTCGTGGCTCATCAAACACAAAAACCACTAAAGAGATGAAGAGTTTTAAAAAATGTAGCAAAAACTACATTTATTTCACCATAGACACCAGTCCAATAGCGTTGTACAGAATCTATCATAGTACAAATACAAATATATTTTCAATACCACATACGAATACCTTTGACTTGATATACTTCATACTTTGTGCAAGAGAATACATTTATCATGTACATTTAGCATTTACACAATGAACATTTGTGCATATCATTGTCTGCATGAACGTCACTATCATAATTATTTACCAAAACTAGAAGTGCCACCCATATTTTAAAATGCAGAAGACTTGTTTGGAAAACAGAAAAAGCATCAAACAACGCTCTAAATATATCTCAAAAGTGTAAATGGAAATGGCATTTCCATTTCGTGACTCATCAAACACAAAAACCACTAAAGAGATGAAGAGTTTTAAAAAATGTAGCAAAAACTACATTTATTTCACCATAGACACCAGTCCAATAGCGTTGTACAGAATCTATCATAGTACAAATACAAATATATTTTCAATACCACATACGAATACCTTTGACTTGATATACTTCATACTTTGTGCAAGAGAATACATTTATCATGTACATTTAGCATTTACACAATGAACATTTGTGCATATCATTGTCTGCATGAACGTCACTATCATAATTATTATTGAACCACCATTTGACAAGAAATGATGAATAAAATATTACAGTAGGCCGATAATAAACACCATGGTGGGGTTAGTACTCATGTTCACGACATCCTCCCCAGGATTCCTGGAGAGTCATCTTGTATCAGCGTTTGTGTAAATCACGGAGCACCATTTAGCCAATCACAAGTGCTTATGACACACCCAAACGATGACATCATGATGCAGTTCAATCTCCATCTGTGTTCGGAATGGAATACTAGTATACTGTAGCATAGTATAGTACTATACTGCCAGTATATACGAGCCCGGTCTCATGAAAATGTGTATAAATAGTACGCCAAATAAAAACGAAAACTCGTGGTATTGATACGCAAAAATGGACTTTGGCGTGCATATGATACGCATGTGTTTGGCGTGCATATAATACGCAGTTTTCGCGTGCATATGATACGAAATTTGTTGGCGTGCATATGATACGCATCTACCCCACAACCCTAAACCTACCCATCGCGTAGCATATACACGCCAAAGTAGTTAACTGTGAATGCTGCTTTTTAACTAAAAGTTTGAATTGTCTAGTCCGTGCAAAAGTATTTCCCATAAATCTCAGGTCAGGGCAAGACGCTTTGTGCAAATTATGAGTAAATTCTGTTGGACTGTAAACAGTTAGCAACTGCCATTGTTTAAAGGTTGAATTCAATAAGAATTTTTAAAAAACAGAATTCAATATACTGCAGGGATGATGCATTTTTGCAGGCCAAAACAGCATTTTAGCACTTCTGGTTGAAATCAATGGGGTTTTTTAAATGAGTTTTACAGCCTGTGTTTATCTTTTTACACTATTGTATTCAGGCATAAACTTTAGTTGGTAACGGTTCTTTTTTTTCCCTAATATTAAAGATTAGAAGTAAAAAAGGGAGAAAATGGTGTTTAAAAGCACGTGTGAGAGTGGGGATTTGGGAGAAAAATTAGAGATTCTTAGAGCATCGAAGTGAATTATTCATGGGATATCGTTCATTAAAAAATGTAGTGTCTGTTGTCTTCTTGTCTGTATATTGTTGCAAACAAAGAAACAAAAAAGCCCGCCCATCACAGATTTTCTTGTGATACCAATGTCACAAATAAAACATCCAGCGTTAAATTATTTTCCTGAGCAATTAAAATAGAGCATGACAGAAAATGTACAGCTCATTCAGTCAAACTGATTATTTGTAGTGCAACATTGAATTATTTGTTTCAGTTCTTCTGAATGGCAGTTACCAAAACTAGAAGTGCCACCTATATTTTAAAATGCAGAAGACTTGTTTGGAAAACAGAAAAAGCATCAAACAATGCTCTAAATATATCTCAAAAGTGTAAATGGAAATGGCATTTCCATTTCGTGGCTCATCAAACACAAAAACCACTAAAGAGATGAAGAGTTTTAAAAAATGTAGCAAAAACTACATTTATTTCACCATAGACACCAGTCCAATAGCGTTGTACAGAATCTATCATAGTACAAATACAAATATATTTTCAATACCACATACGAATACCTTTGACTTGATATACTTCATACTTTGTGCAAGAGAATACATTTATCATGTACATTTAGCATTTACACAATGAACATTTGTGCATATCATTGTCTGCATGAACGTCACTATCATAATTATTATTGAACCACCATTTGACAAGAAATGATGAATAAAATATTACAGTAGGCCGATAATAAACACCATGGTGGGGTTAGTACTCATGTTCACGACATCCTCCCCAGGATTCCTGGAGAGTCATCTTGTATCAGCGTTTGTGTAAATCACGGAGCACCATTTAGCCAATCACAAGTGCTTATGACACACCCAAACGATGACATCATGATGCAGTTCAATCTCCATCTGTGTTCGGAATGGAATACTAGTATACTGTAGCATAGTATAGTACTATACTGCCAGTATATACGAGCCCGGTCTCATGAAAATGTGTATAAATAGTACGCCAAATAAAAACGAAAACTCATGGTATTGATACGCAAAAATGGACTTTGGCGTGCATATGATACGCATGTGTTTGGCGTGCATATAATACGCAGTTTTCGCGTGCATATGATACGAAATTTGTTGGCGTGCATATGATACGCATCTACCCCACAACCCTAATCCTACCCATCGCGTAGCATATACACGCCAAAGTCCATTTTTGCGTATCAATACCACGAGTTTTTATTTGGCGTACTATTTATACGCACTTTCTTGAGATCGGGTTGTATAAACTGTATCTCAAAGTGTATGCATTATGCTATACTAAACCTTTCAAACAGTAAATTGCGTCCAGTTATCATTCGATAAATAAATATGGTTGATATGCATTTTAATAGGCCTAGTTACAAAATATAACTTTTGGGTTCTTAATATTATATAATATCGGTTCATAGAATGCAACAGTGACTGCCAACTTGATTGGTTCTGGGAGTATTTCTCCGAATCATTTTTACCATAGTGATTTAAGAAAGTCTTTGTTATAAGCCATGAACCAAACCAACCAGATAGGAGATGAATTACAACATTTTTCAACAATTTCACAACAATTTTTGGTTTGAAGCAAAAAAGTATTTGAAAATTGGACAAAAAGACAAAGGTGTAGATGTAAAGAACTACAATCCCATGAAGCACTGCAAATGACAAACGCATTAAAAAAGACGGAGAAATATACAGTAGACTTGATATAGAAATAAAATATTTTACTTTTATTGCAAAATGTGCATATTATACATACAAACATTTAATTTGTTTAAGAGTGCAGGGAAACTGACTCTAAATCATTTGCAGAGCTTCGTGAGATCTTTTGGCACGATTTACTTGTTGCAATTCTCTGATTGGTGGAGATTCTCTGCAGAATCATGGGTAATGTAGTTTTTCACAAGGAATTCCACCGTTAAGCATGATTATTTGAAAAATGTGTTTAATAATATGGGCTGATGGCTTCAACAAAAGATTATCAACCTCGTAGCTCAGAGTAGGTCTGTCTTTAAAGGTTAAAGTTACTATTAAAAAACGAATTTCCCTATAAAAAAAAAAAATGAACAGGATTTTTACTTTGTGAACCCGAATGTTTCACTCTATTGCAGTTTGAGAGATTTCATTGCCACATAATGTACCCAGTATACATACTATATACTACACTAAGGGTAGTATACTAGCATGCTTTTCCAAACACAGCCTATATATGTTTTACAAAATCAGCAGCAACATTCCAAATATTATGAGGTATTAACAGTTCTCAAAAATAATGAGCAATGTGCTATTGTCACAAGCACTTATGAATAGACAAATGACTCTCATAGTCCCTGTAGGGATTTTTTTTCTGTACATCCCGTCCCTCCAAATGAGAGAGAGTCTTTGCCGCCGCAAAGAAGGAAATGAAGCAGACGAGACGAACCATTTATAGTCCAGCTGAAACCGAGGAAATTTTGCTGTACGGGCCTGTTGATGAATCCAAGCCGCACACACTGAGATACAGCAAGAGTATACGAGGGTCAAACAGACACAGCTGTGGAGAAAAGCTGCCATTGAAGACTGTTATTTAGGGGGCGCTGCAGACAGGAAACTGGCGTTTTATTCATAATGAGGTGACCAAGAATTACAGTTCCTCTATACTGTGTTTAGAAATCATGTACTGTACTGTACAGTAAGGTTTCAGTTATTGATTAAATCAGGAATGTAACGTGGTTTGAGTGACACAAAGCAGCTGATGAGTGTGTGTGTCCAAGTAAAGTACCGTATTGCACGCTCAACCTATGAACTAATTCCTCTTTTCAAAAATCTTTTTCATTGCTGTGTACCAAACACACAATAAAGATGGTTGCACAATGCACTTTTAATGTTATCTGCATTGCAAAGTAGCAGCATCCTGTGACGACTATAATATGGCAGGTGCCATTTAGAAGCAAACTGCATTACAATGCTGGGAGATTCAATCTGCAGCTTTCAGCGACAAGGGGGATCTAATAAAAACAAAACCACCAAATCTGTGATGAAATTACGTCTCCTCTGTACAAAGACTTCAAACGCCTTCAACAGCTTGTGACTGTTAATATATTATCCCAGCATGCTCTGGGAGAAAAGCTGGCTATAAGCAAACCAACATCATTTCATTACATCATTGCAGCTTATTGTGAAGCTAGACATTTTGTTTAATAAAGGAATTATGAGTGATTTTTGTCCATGCAAAAATCACCTTAAATTGGCAGGGTGTTGCTATGAAGTTGCTAAGGTATTCTGGTGGGTTTCTTACAAAAATGTCCTTCCTTCAGTGTAAATTTATGGGATTTTTACACCTGCCTGGTGAAAATCATGAGTCTGATCACTTAGAAAAGCAATAGCACACCTCTCTTCAACCAACTACACGATTTGAGGTATCATGTCTGTGATGCAAGATAGGAATCCCTAAAAAGTGAGTTCAAAATGAGGTAATGGGCTAAAAAAAACAGGACATTATAAATCTGTTGTTCTTGGTCACAAGACATTTCGTAATACTGTCAGCTGTAAAAGTATGTTTATGAGGTCATGTTGAAATTGGAAAATTGGTAGATTAACAACAGGATATGAAGTAGTCAGAAGTCAAACGCAGTTCATGTATGATGCCAGCAACACTAAGATCAAGGGTTCGACTCCCAGGGAACACATACTGATAAAATGTAAACTTTAGAGGTACTGTAAAATGCACTGGATAAAAGCATCTGCCAAATGAATAAATGTAAATGTAAAAAATGTTCCATGTCATTACCACACTGACTCGCGATTGCATATTAAACACTTGGCAGACTGCAATGACAACGGCAACATCTTCACTATATGATACATATCGCAATACATATATTGCAATTCAATGTCATGATATCGAAATGTGATCGCGATTGACACTGCACCAAATGTGTGTGTGAATCGGTCAGTCTCTCTAATGCAGATTCAGAGTTCAAATTTAAAGGGATAGTTCACCTAAAAATGAAAATTCTGTCATTAATGACTCACCCTCATGTCGTTCCGAACCCATAAGACCTTCGTTCGTCTTCAGAACACAAATTAAGATATTTTTTATGAAATCTGACAGCTTTCTGACCCTCCATAGACAGCAACGCAACTACCACGTTCAAGGTCAAGAAAGGTAGTAAGGACATTATTAAAATAGTCCATGTGACATGGACTAACGACGGTCTTACAGGTTTTGAATGACAAGAAGGTGAGTAATTAATGACATGAATGAATTTTCATTTTTGGATGAACTATCCCTTTAAGGCCTTGACACACCAAACCAACCTAGCAGCAACGAAAGCTGACTGTTGTTGCCTCGTTTCACGTGTCTGGCCTAAAAGTTGCGCTTGAACATACTGCGACGGCTACAGCCAATGCCAGCTAGCAGGTACATTCTAGGCCTACATGAGAGAAAACAACTGCATGTATCAATAGATGAAAAATTCGAAAATATTTGGTTATTGGATGTTCAGGTCAGATGACAAAAAATTAGAACAGCCTTCGGTCTGTGCCGTCTTGACTTCTGTGCTTGCATTCATGACTTTTGCTTTTATTCTCAAGCACTTGTTTGTTAAACCGAACAGCCTGTAAAATCAGAGTTCTCTCTCAATGAATGTTGATCCAACATGCTTAATAGGCCAAAAAGCCCCCAATAGATCTGTGCTGAACACACCACAAAAACTAGCCTGATTGATGCTCTACGATGGCTTGACGTTGGCCGATGTCGGCTTGGTGTGTCATGGCTTATATTCAGACAACCTGATTGAACTGTAGGAAATATGAACAAAAAAAGCTAAACGTATTGAAAAATTGTGGTATTACAATATTCATAGATTCCAGAATATTAGTATTTTAAGGGAATAATTATGTTTTTGTAAGGACGTTTTTAGCATGTCATCATTCGTCCACAATTTTCCGAGTCAAAATCAGCTGAGGGTTACTCATTTGAACATTGAAATGGTTCAAAGCATGTGTGATTTTCAAATACGGTGACGCATCGAATGATGCAATCAAAACCAGATTCTCAAGCCTCCTGTGTATAACCTCCCATGAATCACAGCAAGCGTCAGAAACAAAAGAAACAAACAAGGCCGTCTGCTGGGTGGAGATGGGGAAAATTGTGGGCCGCGAATCAAGGTAGCTTGTTTTTCTCCCCCCTTTCAGTTCGCCATGTCCCCGCTTGCATTTCCTCCCAGTTCCTCCAGGCTCACTTGTAGAGGAGCTGCAGTCGGCCGGGGTGGCAGCTGTTGCGGTTGATCTTGCCGTCGGGCTGGTAGAGGGTGGGAGGGAGGGAGTGGTTGTCGGAGACAGCGAGGGGGTATCCTGGTCTCCGCATCTGCACCAAACACACAAACACACCACACGAGGCTCATGTTGACAGAATATACCAGAATATATACAGTCGATATAAGCGAAAGGTAAGCAACAGGCAACAATAGAAATAATAAAAGTAATAAAAAACAAAAAATAACAAATCAAACAGTCAGCAATTATGAGTTCAAATAAAATTAGACTATACTTATTGAGTCATAGTGTTATTATCTTAGAAATTAAAACTGTTATTTAAAATTGTAATTTAATTTGGCATATGAGAGCCTCTTAGCAGTCCAATTAAAGAGTAATTCAGAGAGATCAGGTTCAAAATGTTGACTGATATTGCTTGGATTGCTCAATTCATTCTTCAGACTGAAAATGGATGGGTAAAGTGCATTGTGGGATACATTGTTCCACACATTTTCCCAAATGAAACAGGTGATCAGGGTGCAACATAAAGAAACATACTATGCATACAGCAAAAAAGGTCTGGAGCAGGGTTATTATTAACTAAAACTAGTTTGTTAACTGAAATAAAGCCGAAACAAAATATAACTATTAGACGAATAACTTGAATAAAACGAAAAATGGAAATGTTGTTTTGGCAACTAATTGAAATAAGCTGAAGAACTAATGTTACTAACTGGAATAATATGTAAAATATAAAAGTAAAAGCTAATTCAAAATATTAATAAAAACTGTAATAGTATAAAAATAATTCTTAAATAACACTGGTCTGGGTGTAGACGCAACATGTCGTCTTTCTCTGTACACATAGCAGCTCTTATTGGCTGTTGTGCAAAAGTACTTTATGTCTTTACTTTCATCTCTTCTTAAATAACACTGTTCTGGGTGTAGACGCAACATGTCGTCTTTCTCTGTACACATTGGCTGTGTGCAAAAGTACTTTATGTCTTTACTTTCATCTCTTTCATATTCTCCTGAGATGTGTAATAACACCTGTCTCCTCTGCTGACACTGATTACACCACATCTCAATAACATCGTCACTTAAGATTTCACGAGCAGACCGCTGAGAGAGATGCATATGTCACACATTTACACGCCTCTTTGATCACTCCTTCCCCTGCTCTAGTTATCCATCATTAATATTCATCACTGTAATGCAATATTTACATTAGTGCTCCTTCTTGTTTTCAGAAAATGATCTTCTGTTGTACCTTAGGGACGAAGAGGACAACCAGAGTGATGTAGACGGAGAAGATGATGGCCAGCGAGGCGAAGGCGAACGAGGCGTCCTGCTTAGACGACAGAATCATGGTGACGGGAGCCGTTATCATACACAACACCTGAAAGAGAGACAAAGAAGCACATATACAAGTGTCTTCAACTATGGATGTTTACATAACACTTTTCACCCCTCATTTCTTCAATTTGTCTATTGACAATGTCCAACAGTGTTGTTACTGTTAAGTAAAACTATGAAAAATATTGTTTCCAATAATTGAAATAATAAAATAAAATAAACTAAATTAAATCAAATCAAATTAAAACATTAATAATAAAATGTTAGATGAAAAAGTTCAACAAACAAAAATGAGAAATATTGCCTTAATTTGAAGTACTAAAATGACTAAAATTAAAAATGAAATAAAAATGAATTAAAGCCAAGTAAATAAAATGCATAGATAGAGACAGAGAAAGCTACTCTAATCAAATAATAATAAATACTATAATATTATATAAATAATACTAAAATAACAAATATCAAAAGAGGGTTCTGTCATTTCTTCTAAATTATGTTTTTGAACCAATGTTCTAAATTCTTGAATTATGAATCGCATAAATCATGCAATACATGTATTGCATTATAAATTAGATTTAAAAATGTTTTTGAATAAAATTACCAATTACATAGCTAGAATTTTATATATACTAAATACTAAATGCTAAATACAAATTTCTCAAATGATATTTACTTTGACTTTTCCTTATAAATGTTTACACAATAAATATTAAAATAGTTTCTAATTATTTCACAATTATAAATGCAAAAATAAATGATGAAGGCAATACAAGATCGTTTATAACGTGTTCATATAATAAAAAATGTCTTCTGAAGGCAGAGGAGAGGAGAACAGAAGCCAGGAGAGAAAGAAGCATGAATCAATAAATATTGATCATCAGTCAGTCATTTATCTTATCCAGGCTAACAAAAAGAAAATGTTGTCTGGCATCAACAGAGGTGATCTTTTTTTGCAGGGTCATTAGTTATTTGGACAGGGCAAAAAGTGCAAAGCAGTCTCTCTAAATCAAAGCGGTTTACAGCTGGACTCACAGCAGTAGCCTACGGCTTTCACAGAGCCCATTTGAATCACACCACGACAGAGCAGTAATGATGTATGGAAACCTGCACGCTTTTAGCTTAAAATGCATGGCAATGCTGAATAATGCAAACAGTAAGTGAAGTCTGAATGCAAAAGAGCAGCAAGCCGATCTTTAAAATATTTTCTTTCGTCTTCCAAAGAAGAATGACAGTCACATGGCTTTGAAACAACACGAGGGTGAGTAAATGATGACGGGATTTACAGTATGTCATTATTTAGTCATGCTCAAACCCATATGACTGTCAATTCTTCTGTGGAACACGAAAGAATAAATTTAAGATAATGAATATATATTGGCAGTTAAAGAGATAGTTCAGCCAAAACTGAAAATGAAAAGTTGTTTCAAATCCGTATGAGTTTATTTCTTTTGTTAAACACAAAAGACAATATTTTGAGTGTGGGTAATTGAACAGCTGCTGATCTCAACTGACTTCGATAGTATGGAACAAATAAATACTATGGTGACCAGAAACTGCTTGGTTTCCCACAGTCTTCAAAATATCTTCTTTTGTGTTCAACAGAAGAAAAAAAAAACAGGCTTGGAACAACTTGAGGAGTAAATGATGACATAATTTTCATTTTTGGGTGAATTATCCTTCAAAATACCATAAATGCATGATAAAAGTTAACATTCTAGCTTTGAGTGAGGGAAAAAAAACGAAATTGAAGTTGTTATTCACTGTTTATTTCCTCAAGTTTATTGTTGGGAGCACTATTCTTTTAAACTCACATGTTTATTATGAGCATATAAAGTATTTATGACTTATGTACGATATATTGTATGCATCATGTTTTAGTTGAACTATCCCTTTAATATACCAATATAATATGATATTTTGATTATTTACACTACTGTTCAGAAGTTTGGGGTCAGTGAGAATTTTTTGTTTAAAAAATAAACACTTTTTTCTTCAAATTGATCAAAAACAATTCATATAAAGGCTGTATTTTTGAACTTTCTATTCATCAAAAATTCCCCGGTGTTTACATTATTAATATTGATATTAATCAGAAATATTTCTAATTTATGACTTATGTACGATATATTGTATGCATCATGCAGAAATTGTTCTGTTATTTTACTGAGAGGAGGTTATTAATGGTGACCTGCCAATCAAATTAAACATAAAATTAAAATATTTATGTTTAATATTGTACATGGTCTCTTCCAAATAAATAACATTTGAAAAACCTCCATGCATTTGGTTTCTTGATTCGGGTGTCAAACTAGTCCTCAGAATATGAATTTAATAAATCGTATCAGTTTGCTGTGAACTGCAGCGCTCTTGTCTTTATTATTGTCCTCCAAGCAGCTGAAATTCTAAAAAGTGATGGAGTTCGTAATGGCATGGCAGATGGCATCTGAAATCATTTCTTTAGCAGAATGGGCATTTGCTAAGGGCCAGGAGTCGGCCAGTGACTTAGAAAAAAAGAGAGTGAGAGAGAAAAGATTAAAATGCAAAATTCGGCCCCTTGCTGATCTAAAGTCTCTCCCTCAATTTGAGCTTAAATTGGGTTCAGTGTATAATGGATAATCCTCGGAGGCCGAGATCAAGAGAGACACACTGCTTCAAATTAAAAGCTTACAATGAAAAAGCTGATGGACAAAAGCTTGGTGCTTTATTTCCAATCAACCTTCGCCATAGAAAACAGACCAAGTCTTTATGGCAAATGAAAGTAGATTCCCGGGTATTTAGCCTTCACATTGAGTGCATTATCAGCGTGGTACGCGCTGCTTTCCTGACTCGTGAGCCATGGGGCGGCAATGAAATGCTAAAGTGGAACAGACGAGATGATGCGCAAAAACAAACAACTTTCAACATTACTGAGGGACCACTTTACTTGAGTTTTCTAACTACTTTAGAGCTCCAGTCACGTCAAACTGACGAGCACGCTTATTCCCGGTGATGAGGGGAAACTCTCCCCCCCCTTTCCCTGTCCTCTGGAAAGCTCTGCGTCCCTGGACAGCATTCGAGATGGCAGGCTCAGACACTTCACTTCCATCAAATCTTGCAGAGCCACACACTGAAGAGCTCCAGGCATGTTCTTCCTGCTTATGAGTGTGTTGTGACACACAACAGCTCCAGACGGACACTGCGTCCAATTCACACGCCAACTTCCAACTAAGCTTGAGCAACGAAAGGAAAAAACCCACCACGGTGCTATTTCAGTCACGTCAGCTGAACAGTTCTACCTTTTAATTGGACAATATTTGGGTGACGACTGACATTTCAAATGTCACCCAAGGCGCACGATATCCTTACTACTGTACCTTTCTGGGCCTTGACCGTGTCAGTTGTGTTGCTGTCTATGGAGGGTCAGAAAGCTCTCGGATTTCATCAAAAATATCTTAATTTGTGTTCTGAAGATGAACGAAGGTCTTACAGGTTTGGAACGACATGAGGGTGACTAATTAATGACAGAATTTTCAGTTTTAGTTGAACTATCCCTTTAATATACCAATATAATATGATATTTTGATTATTTACACTACTGTTCAGAAGTTTGGGGTCAGTGAGAATTTTTTGTTTAAAAAATAAACACTTTTTTCTTCAAATTGATCAAAAACAATTCATATAAAGGCTGTATTTTTGAACTTTCTATTCATCAAAAATTCCCCGGTGTTTACATTATTAATATTGATATTAATCAGAAATATTTCTTGAGCAGCAGATCAGCATATTAGAATGATTTCTGAAGGATCATGCGACACTGAAGACTGGAGTAATGATGCTGAAAATTCAGCTTTGCATCACAGGAATAAATTATATTTTAAAATATATTACAATAGAAAACTGTTATTTTAAATATTTAAATATTTCACATTATTACCCTTTTTACTGTATTTTTTTGATCAAATAAATGCAGCTTTGGGGAACATCTTTCACAATCTCAAACTTTTGAATGATAGTGTAAATTACTGTGATAATATTAAATCAAGCCAAATCAAAGTCTCATCAAGTTTATGGGTTTAAATTTATTTATTTATTTTTTTATTTTTTTTTACAGTGCTTCAAAAACAATATACAACAATACCAAGCATATTTCACTGAGCTTTCATTTGTTACTACTGACTGTTGCTTGTCTATTATTTATCATCACCTTCTTGTCTGACCATTAAATCCTCAGTAAACACCGCTGGTGTAATGAAGGTCGCAGACAGGGGGTGCAGATTTAATTTAACTGAGTGTTTGCTAAAAACCAGCTCACTCTCAGATGATAATTTCAAGTCATTTCAAGCTCATTTGGCTTTGGATGTGACCAAAAATGGTGCTACCTGAGTGGGTGAGCTATTTACTATGTAAATAGTCCATCCATTTCCACCAGTTTGATGTATTCAGGCCGATGCAAACATGATAGGTGGACATTATCACACTGACAGGGTAATCAGTCAGTCGCAGGCGCTGCCTGCTCCCATGACTTTTACCTGCATCTAACCATTCATCCCTCACATCCACACCTTTATGATCTCACTGAGAACTCTGCTATATTTGGTTTGTTTTAGTTCTGTGCGATCAATTATTTTCTCATCCAGATGTCGTGAAAGTACACTACCGTCCATGCGTCCATGGACCAAATGCCCTAAATGGTTTATGCAGAGAAACTGTTATGACAGAAAGTATTTGTATGACAGGTCTGTTTACAGGCAGTTGTGCTCGTTTCTCAAGGACTTTGCCTGAAGAATACACTTGAGCAACGAAAGGAAAAAACCCACCACGGTGCTATTTCAGTCACGTCAGCTGAACAGTTCTACCTTTTAATTGGACAATATTTGGGTGACGACTGACATTTCAAATGTCACCCAAGGCGCTCTTAAAATGTCCAGAGGGATAAGTATAAAAAGACAAACAGACTCACAGAGACGTTGTAGATGGCCATCCCAACAGCTCGATGATCGTTTATTTTTTCAGTGGACACAGATTTGGTTTCATAAGCCAGAAAAATACCCAGAAGGAGCAGCAAACCCTTATAGCCATAAACGACACCTAAAAGACAAAACAGAGACAAAAATAATGAACAGGTTTTCAAAACATCCTTATCGTCCTTATCATTGTTCCTTCACAAATCACTTCAACACTCACTATTGATGGAGCCAATGTTGCTGCGTTGGGCCACTCAAACAAATAGAACAATATAGTTTATTTAGATTATATTAAAGGGTTAGTTCACCCCAAAATTAAAATTATGTCATTAATTACTCACCCTCATGTCATTCCAAACCTGAAAGACCTACGTTCATCTTCGGAACACAAATTAAGATATTTTTGATGAAATCTGAGAGCTTTCTGACCCTCCATAGACAGCAACACAACTACCACCACGTTCAAGGCCCAGAAAGGTAGTAAGGACATTATTAAAATAGTCCATGTGACATCAGTGCTTCAACCATAATTTTATGAAGTTTTACGCGTTCACAAGAGTACCACAACGCATGCATGTGATGCTGCTGACGTGTTGTGCACGCATGCGTCATGGTACTCTTGTCGAGGACACGGAACACGGAAGAGAAGAAATTATTGCATAAAATCATTATGTTTATTTTCTTTTGCACAAAAAATGTATTCTCGTAGTTTCATAAAATTACAGTTGAAGCACTCATGTCACATGGACTATTTTAACGATATCCTTACTACTGTACCTTTCTGGGCCTTGACCGTGTCAGTTGTGTTGCTGTCTATGGAGGGTCAGAAAGCTCTCGGATTTCATCAAAAATATCTTAATTTGTGTTCTGAAGATGAACGAAGGTCTTACAGGTTT